GGTTTATTGATTTGAGGCCATTTTCTTGGTGATTTTATGTGGTGGTTGAATTGTCTTGTAGGGGAACGTGAGTTGAATGGCGTAAGAGTTCGGTTTGGCTGTGGCGGGTTCCAAGGTTGAAAATTGAGGTGCTGGGAGAGTGAGGGGAGAGTGTGAAAAGCCTTGGACAGTTTGGTAATGTGTTCATTTTTATGTCGATATTTGCAGTTCGGTGGTGGATTTGGCTTGTTTCTGAATAACCTGGGGCTTTTAATATATAGTTTCTTTAGCGGCTTTAAGTTTTGTATTAGTTTGCAACAGGGGTTTTATATTAGGATTTTGTGCGCATTTTCCCATATTGGGCCATGCTAGTCATAGGGTTGGTCGAATTATCGAGGGGTAAACTTATCAATTTCCGGTTCTATTTTGGGTAAGGGGGATTTTTGTTGGTTAAGTTAGTGCGAGAGTGGGAAAGTTTTGCTTGTGTTTTTGGTTCGTGTTTGTGTAAATGTGTGTTTTTCCGTGTTATTGTGGTATGCAAGTTGCATTCCTAAATTTTGGCTGCTGGTTTTATTTGCAGCCCAGGGAATATTTTCGTTGTTCAAAAAATTTAACTGGCGGGGGGGGGTGTGGGGGAGTCTTAGGGTGAAAATTTTCGCTGTTGTTTTATAACTGGATTCATTTTAATTCTCCAATTTTTTGCCGCATTTATTGAATATGTGCAAGGTCGTCTTGTAAGTTATTCTAGCTGTCATAATGTCGCCTGTTTGGAAGAAAAGTGCGTGTCGTAGCGGTAAAGTGCTATTTGGAATCTATTAGGTGTGGATAAGTCGGATATTATATAATTGATAGTACCTAGGTGATAATGGGGACCTTGGGGCAGCCCTGCTTGAAATCTGGCGTAAGGATGATATGGCATCACTTAATTTTGAGCTTGGAACTTTCTTTGTTTTAGGAAAACTTTTAATATTTGGAATAAGTAGTCTGGGAGTGCCTATTTGTTTAATTTGTAGGAGAAGGCCTTGATGCCATAGTTTTTTGTGTCATAAACCGCTTCCTGGTGATGTCAGGAATATTTGCGATAGTGGTGTTGTTTGGCATGAATCCTTGCGCATATATTCGGTAAGCCGGTAATATTCTGTGTGTCTGTGGGAGGTGGTTAAGGTCGAAATCCAATTGCGTGTCGGATTACTGTGTGTTGGTCATCGGAATTTTAATTAATCGTTTTTAAGTATCAGTTTCTGCTAATAGTTTCGAACAATGACGGGAGTGATTATTTGGTTTCTATAGTTCGCTGGATCTTTTGGATTCTTTTCCTGCTTTTGCGGAAGGGTATACACTGTTGCGGATGTTTGTCCATCGTTGGAAAGTAAACCTATTGTTAGTGCTGCATTATAATACTTGCTGTAATGGCTGCTATCGAATTGTTAATTTAGTTTTTTAGACTTTATTAGAAATAGAGTCGTATCCTGTGGATTTCTTAGTTTTTGGAATTTTTGGAATTCTTGTTTAATTTTCTTGATGGGGATATGTTCTTTATGATTGACTGGAGGTGTATATATAGTGGTTTCTGATTAAATTCGCTCTAACTTGTTATGTAAGTGATCGTTTTCGCACTGGGTGTTGGGTTGGAAACGACTTTTCGAAGGGTAGTCCAGCTTATGAAGAGAATGTTTTCTCAAAATCAGAATTTGCCACTGTGTAACCTAGTTTTAATTGTGGAAAATTCTTGGTCTTTTGGTCTTTTTATTCTATGGCTATGGTTTAGACCAGATTGCCTAGATGACGGGTGAATTTCTGTTATTTAGAAAAGTCTGATAAAGCTGCATATCTATGTTGGTCTAGTTTAGTTTTAACTAGTCTTCGTCAGTTTTGTTAATTTTTCTTTTTTAAGTCTGGTGGTCGGTAGTCATTTGCCAATAAGCGTCTTAAATTGTGGTTTGTACTTTAATTAGGTTGTAATGATTTTATTATGGGATTTGTGTTGCTTGTGATTTGGAGTTGGTTATTTTGAGAATATGTGGTAGAATTTGTGAGGGAATCCTTGGTATGTTGCTGGATAATGGTGTTTGACTGTGCATTATCTAAGTTTCTTTGCTTTCGGATTGAATTGTTTTGCGGATGTTTGTAGTTAATATGTTTTAAAATTTTCTCTGGAATTTAAACCAGTTAATTTATAACCCTTTGTTGGCTGTTTATAATATATGATAGACTAGAGAGGCATGAAATGATTTTTATTGGAGTTGTGGATGGGAGTCGAGTTTAGGAATCCTTTTTTGGTATAGACGGAAATCAATATTTTTATGTGATAGGATATTAAATATGTCAGGGAATTGGTATTATTGGTATAGGGTAATGGGTGGGTTTATTGGGGCGCATAGGACTTAACATTGAGAGTGGTAGCTAGATTTAAGTAAATTTTTTGCCCTTTGAGGATGTGTTGGTGTTGGCAATCCCCAACCGCGAGTGTTTGCATATTTGGTTCACGCTATTAGCATGATAATTACTCGTTATTGCTCAAAATTTCAGTATGATAAGTGTTTTCTTCAGGGGAATAGGCTTATTTGGAGGGTTTTAATATGCCGATATAATGATCTCT